GTTCTGATAAAAGGTCATTTGTGGCTTAAGCAGCTTAGTTAGTGATGGTCTTTAGAATTCTAAGCAGCCTCATTTTTAAGTCGTTATAAGAACTTGAAAGTTACGGTATCATAATTGAAGAGAATTCTAAGCAGCTTCTGGCGGAACTTGAACGGAACTTTTAGAAAATAAATTAAAAAAGGTTTTTGCCCTCCACACCAATTCTATGTTTAGTTCGCACTTTTATGAAAGTTATTTCTAAAGGCAGGTATTTATATGTGTATTGATTTATCAGCATTAGTAGTTTTGGAGCTGTTTGAAGAATTAAACCCAGTCCTTCTGCGTGAGAGCCCCAGCACGAACCGCTGCGTAACCTGAAATATATTAAAGCGAGCTGTTGTCCCGCCTACTGTTGGAGTTTTCAGTGCCAGCTGACTGACTTGCATACGAAACACAATACCTTGATGAATTTGAAATTGGTATTTGCCCGCATGGTATTCCAACACATTTGTGGCGCAGTGGTTAGCGTTAGTAGATCGCATGCCGAATACACGGGTTCGAATCCCGGAAATTACTTTTTAATTTTTTTTTATGTTTTAATAGAATGTTGATGCACTGCATAAATATAAGAATTATGATTTATTCGGACCACTGATCATTTAATATTTACGTACATTAAATTTTGTTACTAATAAAGACTTGTGCGGATTGCTTCATGTGGCTTGAAAGTTCTGTCGGAACTTTATTTGAACTTTATGGAACTTGAAAGTTCTGTCGGAACTTTATTTGAACTTTATGGAACTTGAAGGTTCGGTCGGAACTTTATTTGAACTTTACGGAACTTGAAAGTGATTTTAATCGTTGAATGCGGAACTTTTGGTTACTTGGGTAAGGTTTAGTGGGTCGGGAGAGTTATTTCTCCCATCCCCACACCCTGAGTTATCTTCTCAGGAGTCTGGCAACAGGTAGGGCTCAAAAATGACACTTCCAAAACCTCATGTACTGGTACCGTTCGACGGCTCAAAATTTATGATTTTCCATCCAGAAGTAAACATCATGCCATGGACTGGTTTATTGCATTGTGTACCAGAAGTTCTAGTTAGCTGCAACAGGACATGCTGGTGCATTCGTACAAGTGTACTTAAGGCAATCGACTTTAGATTCACGTTAGGACCCTCTCGAACGAACGTTCCTTGCTTACACAATTTTCTAAAGCTTTTCAACGAGAAGAATAATCCAACAACCACATCCAACCACACCAAGTAACATGGCAAGTTTTAACGAGGTTTTAAAGCATGCTATAAATCTAAATCATGGTCTACATAACCCTCATAAAACCAAAATTGTTACTTGGGATGTGGACTAATTCACTTGTCTGCAAGGTCTATCGAACTTAGTTTCATCAGCCACCAGGGCTGGTCAAACACTTCGCAGATCAGAAGTTCAACGTCTGTATCATGAATGAGGACAATATGGGAGACAAGCCAGATCTGCCAGAAAACGTTCATCAAATCGAATAACCTGGAAACCCACATGAAGACGCACATATTCCAGGATTCGTTTCAATATTTGACTCCGCGTTCGATTCCAAACGAGGAAGAAGTCAGCCTTCATTCTTTGGTAATTTCATCACCGAAGCCGTTTAACTGTTCATACTACGGAAAATAATTTATTTAACTTGAAGACTCACGTCGGGACCCACACGGGTGAAATTATCGTTTTCAGTAACATTCTCCGTTTGTGGCCACTATCTGGAGTTCAATTTGACGGCGTTTCGTGTCCTTGTGTGGGATCTGGATCATAACCATGACTGATCTGTGGATATTCCGCATCGGTCCATACACTTTGCTATAGGATAGCGATTCCACGGTGGACTGGTTGATCAGGAACATTCACAGGATGCATTTTGCTAGTTTTTTCACCCTTCAAATGCTCAAATCGCCTCCAGCAGTTTTTCAAAATTTGCCTTGTTTTTGCCGTTCTTATCCCGAACCAACGGTACTTCACCGACGGAATGCCCTCCTCAGCGTCCTACTCAATATTCTTCTTGCTGGTCAGGAAAAAGATGAACTTTTCACACAGCACCGTAATCGTATCGATCAACAGGTATCCCAGCAGCTAGGCCAAAACATTCAAGCTGTCAGAAATACCGGGCTGCCAAATATACCATAATATTTGTATTTTACAAAAAATCGCAGCTTGCTCTCTGACCACCACAATCGGCACACCTGCGGCACACTTGCGGCACACTGAGAAAAATGTTGACTCAAGATTGGTATACGGAGTGACCTACCCCTTGGGATTTGGTCACTTCTGGATACCCGGCAGGGCCCCAAAAAGGACACTTTCAAAAGCTCATGTTCAGGACTGGTAGTGCTGATGCGATATAATAGTAGTGACGTTAGTGACTAAAATTACGGAAATAGTGACCGAATAGTGACTTTTAAATAATAAATAAGTAAACAATAGTGACATTTTTTGTCATGGAACCTAAAATTACATTTGATAAATTCCTTTAATTATATCGATTTTAATAATTTTCCTTTGATGACCAGAAAATGTCACATTTTAGGATCAATCATTTACTTGAGTTCTCCTTAGAACTCGCATCCAATTAACCTTAGAAATGCCTTAAATGTCTGCTCTGGATGATCTTGGGCTCTGAATTTGTATTCTTTTTAGTGTTCCCGTGGTATTTCCACAGAATTCTAAAAACAAAAATCCACCTCAGAATACCCTTGAAACTCTTCTCACAGTTCCTTTGAGTGCTTGTATTCGCAAAACTTTGATTATATTGGAATTCTTCTTGGAATTTCTTTCGAACTTCTTTAGCCTCAGAATTCTCCCCAGAGTTCCTGTACAACTACCCGCTGTGATTGGAGACCTTTGGAGTTCTCTCTTTAAAAAAAAAACTACAAGGGACAACCCTATGGGGTTGTACGCAATAGTGACGTAGGACTACGTGGCCTTATATAATAAATCTTATTATTTAACTGCATCAGGAGCTTGTGTTTTGTGTAGGAATAGGAATTTGAGCGGGGTTCTCTCTGTTTATACTCTTTAGTACGACGCGCTTGACACAGATGGCCCTCAGCGACTCACGAAGGGCTTCTGATTCCGATCAATAGCGGTGCGGCTTCTTCCTCCTTCTATGGATGCTCATGTGGAATGCAGCTCGTTGCTTGCAGGCAGCCTTTCGTTGTGTACTGGAGAACACCACCACTCACCACACCGTGATTGAATAAACACCGTTTGGTGAGACCGGATGGAACTCAACTTTGAAATCTGTGTTAGGGAAATCGCTTAGTTATCATAGCAACAGTTACACATTCGTGCAATTTTCAACAGTGGCATTTTGAATAATGATAAAGTCTTAAATTTAACAGATGCGTAGGAGTATTTCTGATCGATTTTTGATAAAATTATTGAAATTGGTCCAGGGGCAGCTGAGTTATTAACGTTCAAAATCTTTCATAATTTCGTTGCATGTTCCATTTTCGGTTTTTACAAAGTGTACCCCCATATCTAAATGACAGACATAGTTCTACGTCAAAACTTATTTTTAATACTTATTAGAATTTGGACCAAGAATATTTATCCGATAGTCATAGATTTTTTTTTCAGAACTCTCATTAAAATGAACTTGGAGCTTGTCCCTAAATTATCTTGGAATTCTCCCAAAAATTGTTAAGGAGCTGAATTTTGAATTTTTAATCATTTAATATCAAAAGTGACGCTTGTATGTGTCAGTCTCGGGACCGATTTTTTCACCTCCGCGCAAGCCTTAAAATAGTTTTAAGATTTAAGCGGAGGTGAACAAATCGGCCTACAGAGCACCTACATTTACGTGTGACTTTCCATCCGTAGAATTCCTTTGATTCAACATTTCTTTGGAATTTTCATTAAAATTTCTAGATAATTCTTTAAAGACTTCTGAAAATCTAGCACCGACCAATATCCTTGAAAAGTTTCCAAGGTTCAGAATTTATTTTCCCGAAAAGAAAGTATATTTTCCCCAATTTGTCATCGAAACTAAAAGCTTTTCCCAGTTTTAAACCTTTGTAGCAGAACGGTTACAAAATGGCCGCAAATGATCATACACTTTGATGTGGTTTAATTCGACTTAGGTTTACGTCAGATTCTGGCCAATTTCACTCTGGGTACTCAATATTCTCGTTATTGAACTTTCATGCGTTTGATTTGACCGATCTTGGTCTGAGAACTCAATATGACCAAAGGACGATTTTGTCGAATTAACGAGAAGGAACTGAGTATTTATTCAAGTACAAATTTCAAATCACAACCTCCGTCAAAACTTCATAATCACCACGCGTTCCCATCGATCCTGATCCGAATCACACTGCTGCGCAACAATTGAAACTTCAAAAGCTGTTCCCAATTTTCATCCGTGCAACCAATCAAATGGCGCTCAGACATTCCTTTTTTCCATTTTCAGTAAGACTAAAATCAATCCCGCATATGACGATGTGATGAAGATGGGGGATTACAAAAATCTAGAAAAACACGACTCACCATCAGAGCATGACCCGAAAACTCTACACTGACTGGGGGGAACCGGCCTACTACTCTGTATTATGTTGATGATGTGATGACATGAGAAAGAAGAGCAAAACCATCATCTCGGCTTGCCATGAGCTTGACCATCAGATGGCATATTGGCGTCCTCGCCTCCTCATCTTGCTTTTTTTTTACAAGAGGCGGCCTTTATTTTTAGAAATATTATAACGATTTTATACCATTTTCACAGGGGGGAAGGGGCGATTTTTTTCGGGAGCTCAACACGGTGCACGTCACCATTATCGTCGTCATCGATCATCACCCGAGGAAACGTGATCCGCGCTAAGCAGACAGCTGGACCTTAGCAGACTCACGCGGCATATCAATATCGCACCCGATGTGTGTATGTACCTATATAAATGTCAACAGTCAACCAACAACATCCGTCAATCTCCACCGGAGCGTGTAAACACAATGAAAACAAGTGTTCTTCGTGGACTTACCTTGGATCGGGCAGGACAATCTTCTTGCTGGCACGGGCCGCTGGCATGCACTTGGATTTCTCCATCGCCATCAGATAGCTGACATCGGCCAGCACTGCTTCGAGATCCGCCATTTTGGTTGGTGGATTTGTTGTTGTTTTGCTTCTCAACTAACCAAACTAAACCGACCGACCGACCGACTGACAGACCGAACTCAGGGATTTGGCTCTGTGTCTGAGGGTGTGTGTGTGCGTGTCTTCTCTCTTTCTTTTATCTCGTCGTCGAAATCGCGATTCCTGTCGCCAGGGATAAACTTTTGCAGATCACTTTGACCCCAGCTCGGATTGACGGAGAATTTGTCACCACTAAGTTTACATAGAAACGGCAAACACTCGCTTCTGATTACACACTCGCCTACTGCGCTCTCGTTTGGGGAGGACTCGTCGAGGACCTCTTTTCCCGGAACTCGTTGAGAATCACTCGCTCTCGCTGTTTCTACAAGATGAGAAATGATAACATCAACAACAGTGATGGATTACAACAACGACAACAAGTGGGTCTTCGGAAAATCTTCTCCTGAAGCTATGAAGCACAGTTTTTTTTTCTTCCGTGGCCTACTGCGATCTCGCAACGTCTTCAAAGTATGCGAGCAATTCTTCCTCGCCTCGTCGGCTATCTTCACTCCTCCAAACAAACAATCGAATCGAGGCAGCTCTTTCTGGTTCGTATCGGGTGGCAAATCTTTTCACCCCTTTCTAACCGCACTTCACCACCTCGCTTTTCACCGTAGAACAATCAAGGAAACCTCAAACGCGCGCCTGGCGCTCTTCATTTGCTCTGGATAAACACACGCGCGAGATACGAATCGATTTTGGCCCGATTGCGAAGATTTTTCCTCTCGACTGCCGCCAGCGCGAGCTCAGCGGGAAAATCCCTCCGAAAAGAAACAAATTCTGTGGAATACCCGCTCGTTCCCCGGCTAAGCTCACCAGCACCACCCACTCCTACGTCACTCGCCTTTTTCTCAGCTGACTCGATTGCTTTCCACCGAGGAGCAGCACCTCTTCCGGCACTCTCTCTCTCTCGCTCCACGGGTGTGCGTGCAAATTTTAAACGATGTTTAGGCGAGCAACAATTTCTTTCTCTCGCCTTGGCGCGGCATAAACAAATGAATGAATGGAGGAATTTAGATCTGCTTGTTATTGAAAGAGGAGGCAAATGGCATGCACAGCACAACAACGCACAAACCCACCCGCCGCGAGACTATCAACAACAACAACAACAACAAATCTGCGAGCAGAAAAAATAAACACTCATTTATACGAACGAACGACCGTGCGCGCACTCACGCTCTTCCGATCGCAGTAAGCCGAACCGTTTTCACGCGAGAAAGAGAGTCACTCACTACCTACTACTGACTGGAATCGCTGATATTTTTTTTCCCGAATGCGTCCGTTCGAGTGTGCGTGCGTCGGATGACAGTAGAATAGCAATTTTTTTTCTTCTTCTCTAGCTCCCTCCGAGGATCGAACCCAGGGTCAGATGCCAAGAACTCACTGCAACCGAACCGCCCGTCTGCCGTGCGTTACTGCTGATTCACAACTTCTCACAAATCAATTTCAAATGCGTTGACATTTTCTTCCTTTCGATTATTTCGCCTTCTGAAACGACGGGGGCTTATCACTGCTTGATTGATAAATTCATTACTCACTCCACACAGTCGGGCGGCCAGAAAAGCGAGTCATATTCATATACACTCTCTCAACAGTAGTGGCCTTCTCGCGTCCCACACACAGATGAACTGGAACAAGTGAGCGTAGCGAAGTAAAGAAAAAAAAAATCCCACACCTCATAAAACCAGTGCACCGAGCGTACGTAGGTACTGGCTGACTGGTGGAGCTTGATTGGCAAAGAAAAAAACCTGTCCGTCTGCAAAAGAACCGATGGTGACCGGGTCCAGAGTGCAAAAAACCTTGTACCTTAAGGCCAAACCACAGAAATGGCACACATCCGCGCGTTCTTCTACCGCTCCTCACACTCTTACCACTTTAACTTGGGAACACTTTTCAACTTCACACCGCACGAAAACCTCCGGAAATTTTCCCCCAAAACACCAATTCAACCGCCGTGCACCTCAATTAATTTTCCTTTTTATTTTTGTTTTTTTTTTGCAACTTTTATTCTCCTCCCTTCTTCAATACAACCGAAGAAACGCAGAAGGCCGTGCCGTGATGAGGGTTACCTTCCAAACGCAACAAACTCTGCTCACTCACTGAACTGTTCGACTGTGTTGGATGGATTCTCCACCGATTTGGAGCAGCGGAGCAGGCGATGCGATTATTTGGAGTCGACTCCCGCGGAATGGAACTCTGGCTCTGGCCTCTCTGGGCGGGTGTTTGCGAGAGTGAGTTACTGATCCCCGTGCGAGGGGCCGAAGAATGGGGGTGGCTGGAAGTGGAGCTTTTTGTTTCGTTTTGTGATGGATGATTTTGTACCACTTTTCCGTCAGTCGGCATGGGCGAGCTCCGGTTCGACTAGGATGGACATTTCAACATTGGTCGGCATGTTTTTCAATATTTTCTGAAATTTTTAAGACTCGTTTCTGAAGAGGTTTTCGGATGGGCAAACAAAGGAAAAACTCACGGATTGATAGAGAGAAAATAAAAACAACGTGTATTCACTTGGTTTGATTTGGTTGTAATTAAAACGGAAATACAACTGTCAAAACGGCCGCAGCCGAAAATACCCCAGTGGTGTGGAAAAACAGTGGGGGCACATGGAGTGCAGTGGTTGCCATCTCAACACCCCTGCTCAACCACAGCACGTCTCCAATCCTAGCTTGGACCGAAGAACCTTGAAGACAGCTGCCGGTAGACCCTTAGTCATAAGGTCCGCCTGTTGCTCTGCCGATCGCACGAACTTGATTTCGATCTTACCTTGTTGTACCAACTCACGCAGGAAGTGGAACTTGGTATCGACGTGTTTCAGCCGCTTGTAGTCCTTAGAATCCTCGGCGATCTTGATCGTGGACTGGTTGTCCTCATAGATTGGGACAGCTCCGTTCAACGGCTTCCCCAAATCTGCCAGCAACCGCATCATCCACATGGTGTGACACGCAGCTGTGCATAACGCCGCTAGCTCCGCCTCCGTCGATGACAATGATACGGTCTGCTGTTTCCTCGTAAGCCAACTGACGGTACTCCCATACAGCTTCATCACGCAGCCGGAAACCGAACGGCGATCATTCGAATCGTTCGCCCAGTCCGCGTCACAGAAGACTTGCAGCAACGGTACATTTTCTTCCACCTTAAACACTAGACCAACGTTCGTCGTTCCCTTGATGTAGCGGAGAATCCGTTTCAGGTGGATCCAGTGTTCTTCATTCGGGCACGACTGGAACTGGCCGAAAAAGTTCACAACCGCCGCCAGATCCGGTCTCGTTGTGATCGACGCGTACGTCAAACACCCCACCAGTTCACGGTAGGGCTTCGACGTTCTCTGCTTCTCGACTCCCTTCAGCAGTCTCAGCCGGTTCTCCATCGGCGTCGAAACGGGTTTGCAATCCACCATGCCAAAGCGTCGCAACAGCCCTTCGAAGTAGTCCCGCTGACTGATCTTCAGAACTCCTGCCTTCCGGTCACGATCGACTTGCATACCAAGGAATTGTTTGATCTCACCTTCGTCGGTCATTTCAAACTCCTCCGCCAACTTGCGTTTCACCGACTCCAGCATCTGCAACGACGAGCTGGCCAGCAAAATATCGTCAACGTAGATCACAAGGATCATCTCCTTCCCAGTTCCACGCGTGTAGAGGCACATATCGTTGGCGCTCCGAACAAATTCCAGCTTGCTGATAAAACTATGGAACCTGTCGTTCCACGCTCGGGACGCTTGTTTTAACCCGTATATAGAGCGGTTTAGCCGACAGACCAGTTCACTTCCTTGCTGGAACTCTTCCGGCTGGGTCATATAAATCTCCTCTGCTAACTTGCCGTTCAAAAACGCGGTCTTGACATCCATGGTGTGAACGAACATCCGGTTCTCGTTGGCCAACGCAAGTACAGCCTGCAGCGTGTCGAGCTTCACTACTGGAGAATACGTATCTGTATAATCGAAGCCTTGCTTCTGTGTAAAGCCTCTCGCAACGAGCCTTGCCTTGAACCGATCCGCCTTCCCGTCGCCGCCACGCTTTACCTTGAAGACCCATTTACAGGTGATCGCCTTCCGCCCAGGTGGCAGCTTGACCAGCGTCCAAGTTTTATTCCGCTTCATGGAACTCATCTCCTCGTTCATCGCAGTCTTCCACTTTGGCCAGTCATCACGCTGCTTCAACTCGGCGATCGAATTAGGAATGTCCTCAATGAAGTTCATGGCGTTCAAAGCAAAACTGGCGTATTCCACGTCAAAATCCTTATGCCATGCGGGTGCGACCGTACTCGTAGAGGCCGTCCGTCTCCAGTTTGACCAGGGGCTTCATCACCCAAGTTGTCATCATCAGCTTCTTCACCATCAGCGGAGTTGTATTCATCGTCTGAAACGTCTTCTTCCTCAGGACCAACGTCGCAGTCGTCGTCGGTCTCCTCGACGCTCGCCGGTGCCTCTTCAATCAACTGCTTGTCGGCATTGATCTGCTTCCGCTGCGGACGCCCTGTTTCGATGAAGTCTACATCGCGCGCTGTCACGATTGCCTTCTTTACAGGATCCCAGACACGATATCAATTGTGCGCATAGCTGACGAGGAGTCCTTTCCACGCCTTGGGATCGAGCTTCCGCCGTAGTTCCTTCGGCACGTGAACGAACACATCACAGCCGAAAACCCGAATGTTCGACACATCAGGCTTTCTCGATTCCCACAGCTCGAACGGAGTTTGCTTCTTATCGAGCGCTGCAGTCGGACTCCTATTGACTAGGAGTCAACACAGCTTGCCCCCAGAACCTCTTGTCCACCGCCGAATCGTCCATCATGGATTCATTCGCTCGCTCAGCCCGTTCTGCTCCGGCGTGTATGGCACCGTCCACTCGATTTGGATGCCTTTGCGTTTGCAAAACATTGCCTCGATATTCGCCGCCATTATCGCACTTCAGCCGCGTGATCAGTCGCTCAAACTTCGCCGTGACGAATGCCTCGTACTCCTCGAAACACTCCGCTACATCGTCTTTCGACTTTATCAGATACACCACCGTGAAGTGGTTCCAGTCATCGATGAACGTCACGAAGTATTTAATTCCGTCAAGTCCAACCGGCGTCACCGGCCCACAAACGTCCGTATGCACAAGCTCGAGCACTCGCGACGATCTTCGTTCTTCACGCGACGAGAAAGGCTTCCGCGCACTACGCACGTTTCACAAACGATGGTATCACCGGTCACACCAGTTGCATTCAACTTCAGTCCCGATACCATTTTGTTCTGCACCAAACACTTCAAGCTTCTTTCATTTAAATGTCCATACCGACGGTGCCACAGTTCGAAACCTTTCTGCACTCGACCACACGTCAACAACGAGGCATCATCCGCACTGTGCCTTTCGGAGTAAAGGTCTAGTCCATACAATTTATTCTTCAACGAACCGCACGTGACGATTTCCGAACCACTGTAAATGTTTACTTTTCCAGCCTCAAAAACGACGCGCATTCCAGCCTGCTCGACGCGCAACACCGAAAACAAATTGCAACGCAGCTGCGGAACGTATACAGAGCGTTTTTAATTGTACAGTCTACTGGCTTACCTTGAACCACCGCTACCACCTTCACCATGCCGGAGTATTCCGCTCGAATCGTTTCGCCATCCTTAGCCACCGCAATCTCGATGGGCTTCTTCAAACGATGCAACTCACAGAATAATCCTTTGTCACGCACAAGATGATCCGTAGCTCCCGAGTCGATGAACCACTGCGTTCGGTTCTCCTCGGAAAGGTTCACTCTGTTGACACTCACGAAACAAACACTCTTCCGTTCGCCAGACTCCGCCATATTCGCCTTCGAGTTCTGCTTCTGCTTCTGAGTGGACTTGTTCTTCTTCTCTGGACACTCGGCCAGCTTGGGGCCTTCCTTTTTGCAGCCAAAACATTTCAGCTTCCTTGCCGGCTTCGATCCGTAGAACGCTGCACCCGATTCGGAATGGGAAGACATATCCATGCCTTTCCTCTTCGTCTCTTCGTCAAGCAGGCGACATTTGACGAATTCGAGAGACAAGTTCTCCTCGGGCATGGTCTCCAATGCCGTCACAACACCGGCGTACGGCGATCCCAGCGTGAGGAGCAGGTGACACACAACGTCCAAGTCATCCAAAGCAGCACCAGTAGCACCAACCGGTGAACACTCGTGTTTATTTCAGTTACCGTGTGGACGTAATTTGTGATGAGTCCCGGTCCCTTTCAAATTGTATCATTATTTATGTACGGTCCGTATACTTGAAATGATGTTTCACATTCATCTAGTGATGGCCGATTTTCATTAGAATTATCGATTAATCGATTAACGAACCGAAAAGTAAAATATTTGTAATTGGTTATATCATGCCGATATAAGCATTAACTTCTCCAGAGGATCATCACCGATCGTTTCAAACATGTGCTGCACTCTCATTGGTGGAAAAATGGCAGCACAGCGAACAAAAAAAAAATCGATTAGTTGTTAATCGAGTAATTAAAAAATGGGACACCTCTGATTTTGGTGTGTTTGTTTTGATCAAAATGAGCGCAATATTTCATCTCTACCAAGGGGGCAGCAAAACCACAAAATTACCTTGAATACGGGGAGTATTCATTGGATGAAAGGGACCGTGAAAGAGGACACTAAAATAGAAAGTTTTTCTTCCGACAGTTTCATCTTAGTATTCATCTTTGGTAGCACGGTACTCTCGGACCAACTTGTCAAACAAGAGGAAGTGATCCTGCAGTTTACCTCCTTCGAACCGCATCGTCAGCATTTGTCGCTTCAAGTGCATCCGGCTGGCGATGCTGCGACGCTCGAACTCCCGGTGGAGTGCATCCCAGATGTCTTTCGGTGATTGCTTGTCGTGGATATACTCTAGCTGCGAGTCGTGTATCCTCGAAACGAGCAGCGATTTGCAGCGGCGATCTTTCTTAATTCGCTTTTCCAGGGCCTTTTTTCATTTCTTCCTTCCTCTGCGGCGTGTCGCCCTGCTGCTCCTGCAGCTCGTCCAAATCCGCGACGTCAGTCCGCACACACTCCAAAAGCTCGTGCTCTTCTAGGAGTATCGCCATGCGGAATTTCCATGCCGCGAAATTAGAGCC